TATGTTGGAAGTACAGGCAGCACCCCTACTAATTCTTTAGACAGAAAACAAGCCAGGGTAAGCCTGATCCAGGCCCCTAGTAACAATGCAGGACAGGTGGCTGAAAGTGGCAACATGCAAAGAAACTCCAACTATGCAACTCTGCCCACTTCTTCAACTGCCATCAGGGAGCCTATATATGCCAACTTTACTGGTGCACAATCAAGCAGTAGAACTTCCCCAAGCACTGCAGCCCCTGCCTCTATTAAACTGATCAGGGAACCAATCTATGCAAACATCAGGCGCGCACAGCAACCTGTTGGTGTGCATGCTACTGTAGCTAGTGGGGTTGTTCCTGTTAAGTCCATTAACACAACTGCAGTCAGGCGAAGCAACCCTGATTATGAATATATGAGTGGCACTGAGAGTTGGCCAAGGATGTCTCCCAAAGTGACAGACAATCCTGGTCAATCACAGAGGATTTCCTCTCATAATGGTCCTCAAAATCAGATTACAGCCAGAAAAGACAATCTTGGACAAAACTTTCCACATACACCTGGCCAAATTTTACCAAATAACACTAGGAATTTACATGTTTCTCCAAAGGAGCCACAAAACCAGAGAGTATCCAGTGCATCTCAGAACAGAGCTAGGGCCAGTTTCCATGGAGAGTCTTCCACATTCCCACGTGAAGAAAATAAAGCACAGAGACCAGTTAGTCTTGTTATGCCAGGGCGGTCGAAACCAGTGCCACCTATGAGAAGTGTCTCCAGTCCATCTGGCAACAATAGACCAGCTTTCCCTGTGAGAACAACCCCTAGTCCATCCCAACATAATAGTAGACCCCCTCCACCAATGAGGGCAACCCCTAGCCCATCTGGGTCTTCAAATCAGAGTCAACAAAATACCAGGTCATCTTCTGTGCCAAGTACTCCCCAGTATGAACAGCAAGACTCAAAGTCTGTGGAAAGCTTTAAGCAGTTGTTGTCTCAGCAGCTACAGAGAGGTAGTCACATTTCTGCTGCCCAGGCTCTTCATGTTCATCAAGAAGACATGTCTGATGGAGAATCCAGTGTTAGTAGTCATGTTTCGACTAATTCTTCACAAAGGCACATGGTGTCCATCAAGGAGATTAGGCAGGCAGTAGGGAAGCCAGCTCAACTTAATGGCCCAGGACATGTAACTCAACTGTCCCCACAACAACCCTCACAGCAGAATGCCAATAATATAGGAAGACCTGCATCAGTGAATGGCCCTACCACTATCCACAATTCACAGTATGGTTCATGGCAAAATACCAGCCATGTAGGAAGGCCAGCTCAACTAAATGGTCCTACTTCTACCTCCTTTCAGTATCCATCACAGAATGGACTGCAGCAAAATGTTATGCTCAATAGATCTGTGAGCCAACAAGATGGCAGACTGCAAGGCGCAGCTCCTGCACACCCTAGTCATTATGGAAGTGTGGACAGAAAATCTTCTGCAGGCTTTGTAAAGGATTCATCACAGCAAGTAATTGTAAGGCCTCAGTCAAATTATTCTTCTGCTACTTTGCCAGCATCCATACCAACACATGCCACACAAGTTTCTGGCAATCAACGTCCTGTACAAAATCATCTGACACATGTCTCCAAAGATCATGGTCAAATGCAGAGTCATTTCCAGAGTCAAGGCTATGCTCAGAATCAGGTGACACATCCAACCCAAGGTCAAGGTGATGCTCATAACCATGTGAAGCAAGCACCCCCGAGTCCAAGGAGGAATCAGATAAGTTATGTTCAGCCTACAGAACAAAACTCTCCTCCTACTATAATATCAAATCAGCTGCAAAAACAGCAACCCAGGGTGTCACCAAAGGAAAAACTACACTATCCCGATGTCATCCAGTCACACAGCACTCAGAAAACCAACATTGCTGGGGTACCCTTGAGGGGGGCTGCAAAACTAATGGCCAAACAGAGTGGGCAGTTGGTGCAAATGAGGAGACAAACCTGGGCAAAGAGCAGTGAGAGACTTCCCATGGAAACCCGCAGTGAATTCCGCAAGTCGTCCGGCTCTCTGAATGAACTGGCTGTGTTGTCTCTTATTGATGACATTAACTTGAAAATCGGAACAGATGGGATTGAGGTTGCACAAGATGAGAGAGGAGTGATACACACTTGTGTATGAGGTTTCTAAATAATGTTTTAAAGTTTTAATGGCATGTCTCCCCAGCAATTTGACAGAAAAAAATGTTGCTGGCATCATATCAAAAAATTTATGCAGTGTTTTGCCTAAGATGGACACCATTTTGTCTCATTCATAACTTGAAAATTTGATCCAAGCACACATGTACCTCACATATCAATTTTAAGGTATTTTGAAGTTATTTTATTACTCTTAGCCAAAAGTAGTTACTATGTGAATTAATATTTTAAGAGATTTCACAGTCATTGTCAGTATTTCATTAAGTGTTATACTATATTTTATAGGTAAAATTTGTATAAAATGGTTGCAAGCTGTTAGAGTGCAATAGAGCTAGGTTTTTTAAAACAAATGGTGATTTGCAAAGTGCTTGTTAGGCAAGACCAGTTGAAATTTTCAACAGACTCGAGCTTAAAAATTTAATTTTACCTGCATTTTATCTGAGAAAATATTTCCAATGGAAATATATAATTTAACTACTGATCATACTTATAAGTGTTGATATTTGCTTTATCATGCATTGTTTAGCATTTTTATTTGTTTATTTACCTGTATAACAACATGGATAAGGAATTAAATTACCTTTCAAGTTTTATTTGTAAATATTTTATGTTTGTACTATGTATGTAAACATATCTCTACCACTCTTTAACTGATCTCACTTTTGTGTCACCAAAGGTTAAACTGTAAGACATTTATAGTTAGACAAATTAATATTATTATAAAATCAGTGTGAATAACAATTTACAAGATTTTAGTGGTTAGCTGTTTTTATCTCAGATAAAAATGACCTTGTATACATGTACAGGTAGTGTTTATATACCATGGTTGTTTGTTCATTTAGGCATGCCACTCTAGTGCCTTGAACTGCTGGGCTTCATACGGTAGTTTTCTGTATATACAGAGCTTTAAGAAGGTAGTTGTTACTGAATGCTGATACTGTACATTACCACTGATCACAAACAATAAAGAAAAATACTGTCACACATGTTATCCTATGTTGTTCAGTATTTACATAGACTTTCTTTAGAATGGTAATAATATGTTGGTAAAAACATTTACCACCAACATTAAGTTTATAAAAATTCTTATCAATTTAGTACCAGTCAAAGTCAAAAATTTTATTTTTTTTCTTTCAAGGGAAATTAACTAACTGTAGTCATTTTTAATTGAGATAATTTGAAAACTGTCTCTTTTGCATTTTACTTCAGAATCCTAGCCAATTGCTTTTCTTGAAGGGACCTTTCTTACATATTTATAGAGAATAAAATTGCTACAATTAGTTTCATTAGCACAATGCAAAGTAAAAAGACAAAGAAAGTACAACCCTCAAGTGAGTGCTAGCAAAGTGTAGTATATTTCTGAATTTGGAACTTTAAAATTATGGTAAAAAAATTTGCATTTTGAGCAGTTCCCATATTAGGAACATATTCCTAGTCAAGCAAAGTTCCTAAACCATGAAACTGATAACCTACAAGTCAAGTAAAAGATCACTTCACCTTGATCTTTCCACAGTACATTGAAACAACTCTCCGTCATTTAGAAAACTGCTGGAAATGAATTTGAACTATGCAACGTAAGAAAAAATTCTAAAACATATTCATTTTTATTCAAATTATAAAAGTTACTGTAGCTTTAAAAGTGCTTCTATTACAAGGAATAATTGCCACCATTATGGTCCCCATATTTTCACAATATCCCATTAACATGGTTGTACAAATTAGGTCAAACAATATTAACCTTAAATGTCTGACTGGCATCCAGTTCCAATACTTTCATGCAATTTAGATAAGTCAATTAAAGATAGAACCTTTGAAGAGGGTAGAGCAAACATATGCTGGTCCACTATCTTCCATTTAAAAATTGTTTTATGTATTCTTGTGAGAAGGTAAGATACAAGACTCTGTTGAACACAGTTAATATACTTAAGTAATTTAGACTGCCAGGTAGTCCAAGTTCCAGCTTGTAGGTATTTTTTAAAAATTAAAAACAATTCACACATGCCTGCTATTTGGATAATGCTCAGTATGCTGCCAGGATGAGTAGCCTAATATTAATCGTCTTTCAAAATACTCCAGAAATAATGTTGGGTCTACTTTTACTATGAACATTTGGAATGTCTTCAACCTGACTTAAATACACCTGGCATTTGTGAAATATTTGAAATGTTACACTTGTTTTGTTCTTTCTACTTTATATGTAAAATAATCTTCATTTTGAAAATGCCATTAAGAACCATATATATACAACATTCAAGATTAATGTCTTCATTTCTCTGCCACCTCTATGACACCAAAGTTTAACATAACTTACTTTAAATGTACATACACCCATTTTAAGCATTCTGGTCATAACAATAATTTCCTAAAACTATTACAACGTTCCAACAGCTGACATGATTGTTCATATCCACATTTGTACATAAAAAGAATGCTAGAAACAACACTGCAGTGAAAAAATTCAACTCAGCCATCAAGTCAATACTGTTGTTTTCAAGTTTTACACAGTGGGAACCTCATGCTCCACAACTGCTAAATCTAGACTAGAAGGCTGATAATGACAGGCAGTCAGGCTTTATGTTACATGGTAAACAGAATCTTTTTAAATGAGTAAGAAATGAGAAATGTTAATGTTTGAAAAAATGCTTAAAATGCCATTTGCTTGGCAGAAGGCAGTTTCTACACTCAAAGGTTATAAATGTCACATTAACAGCTCAACAGACTGATTAGTTAATAATTTTAAAAAAAGCAATGAAATTATAACACTTACTGTGGTAACACACACATGGCATTGCTTACTTATTACAAATTATTTTACAAATTGCACGTCAGTCAGCAGAGAAGTACCACTTTTCAATCATATAATTTTCTATTCAACTCACTTTGTATAATTTGTAATGAACTTCTTTTCCTGTGAGAAAAACACTAACAATGGACTTGTAATAATTTTAGTTAAATCCCATCTACCTGTTCATGCTGTTGACCCAAGGTTCATCCGCCTAACTGCAGCAGAGAGAGTTTGTACTCATGAAAATCTGTTGAATTATTTTTCTTTTGTGTGAACTTAGCCAAAACAGAGTCACATATTGCAATTCCCACTTTGGCTTTTCCATGATTACAAATTTATTATAAAAATTTCAGGATTACAAAAACTAAGTTGCAAACAATGTCCACATTGCAATCACAATGTTAGCTGTCAATAACAGAGTCCCAAAAAGAATTATCACAGAGTAGATTAGCCCACGTATGTCACTATCTGGTATGGTAGACCTCAGTGTGTACTCAATAAATGCCAGTAATATCCACTGTCCATCTAACGCATAACATGGAACCACATTCAATATTGCTAGAGCCCCGGATAATGATATTAAATATCTGGGTTATAGTAAAGGCAAAAACTATAAGTTGATAATGAATCATCAATGCATGAGTAAATACAAATTTGGGGATTAAATGTAGAGCAATATACTAATGAACAATACAAAAACATTTACTGTGATTGTAAAACAGATTGAAACCTTGATGCTTTATGATCTGGTGAAATATAATATTCGCAAGAGCTTCATAATGATAATATCTGTAGCAAAGGATACTGACAAAAGGTTTCAATCACATATGGCATGTTCAATGGTATGAAGACCCCCACAGGAACATAGTTGCTGATATGAACTGAAATGAATGAGTTTAAAAACACTGTAATTTTTATAATATGGTAAATAAAGCAAGTATTTACAGAGTATGCAGATATGCTCCAGGTTTCATCACTTTAGATCACATTTGAGGTGATAAAATATGTATTTAAAAAAACTTGACTAAAGCAAACAATAATAAATCCAAACAGTCCATTCCACAACAGTTTTACCTCTTCCACAAGTTACCTTCCAGGATTTTTTCACTTCTGTTCTTACCATTTTAGTTTAAAAGACTTCCAAGTTATAGAAGTTTACAACTGATTTCTATTTTCATAAATGAAGATGGGACAAATTACGAATAGGAAAAGACTTGATTTAAAATACTTTGGAAAGGCACTCTACAAGAATTCCCAATCCACCAACCTGAATAATGCAAGTCCAGTGGATGACCCAGAAAAAGCAAAGGTGCCTTTCCATATCTGTACACTTTGAGGAATGTGGTGCTGTTATCCAGTGAGGGGTAGACACACGCTGTCTCGACTTTGGGGTTTCTGCAGTCACTCTGCAGTCTGCACGGAGAACGATCAGATGTACTGCGTGCAGGCAGGCAGGCATGTTTTAACTGAAATATTAAGTACCATGAATTTTTATGCCTTTACCATATCATGATTTAAATATAAAACAAGGCAGCAAAGCTNTGTACATAAAAAAGGCAACATGTTTCATACTTTGAACTTGATGTTCATAAATTAACTTGAAATGTTCCAATAATGATGCATAACTTACATTAAAGATCAAAGATTTCTGAAATAAAATGTGTGGTCCTAATAAACAAATATCAGTCGTGAGCCCATATATATGTGGTTCTCATAAGTACTGTTTAGGAATTAAAATACCAACTTTGGTTATATGACACATCCTGTACTCCAATCTCTCCTACTGGCATACAGTAGCCACTGGATGGGTCCTTCATACTCTGCCCAATACACTGCATCCAGTCCTCCACATTGGTCACTCTACAGTGATTTATACTGGTTACATGGTCTCCAGTGACCAGTCCCCTTGGACCTGACACTGCTGACCCCTTCAATAAAAATGATTTTAAAAAATCATTTATGTTATCTAAACCAGGCATACAGTCATCTGAAGTGTTTAGTAATTCATTTATTTATTTAATGATTTAAAGTGCCATATGAAGAGGCGTCAAATGAAAAGCTTATTGTGGCATAAAAATATTCATTTGATACAGGTTAAACTAATGACAGAGAATATATTTCACAGGTACTTATAAAGACTAAAAACAAAACCTAAATTAACACACAGCTAACAGCAATTCATATCTGTCCTCAGTCATCTCCTTACCTGTAATACATATGTTATAGCAACTCCAGTACCAGAGGAGTAAAACAACATCAGCATCCAGGGTAAAAGGAACCATACTAGCAGTGCAACAATAACAATAATGAAGTTGTGCCATACTCCGGCACAGTATATTCTGAGCTGTCTGATTGGTGAGATCACTTGTAAATGTTCTGTATACAGATCTACAAATGCACCTGGGTATACAGCCAGTATGAATATCCCAAATCCATTTACTCTCACTTGCTCCCTTGAAAAGAACAGCAGCAAGTTAAGAACAGACGTAATAAGGCATTAGCTTTCTTTCTTTCTTTATTATTGTTATTTTACTAATTGTTTGTCAGTTATTAATTCGATGCTTATTGTTTTAGAACACAAAAAGGATGCATCTTCCAGGTAATGTTTTATACCTTTACATTTTGTTGCCTACATATGTGGTTATATATACATTAAGTACTACAATAATAAAATAACCATCATGTTAAAAATATGAATTAGGAACAAAGATGTCAACTTACAGAAATTGTAAACATTTATAGTAATTAAAACGAAAATGCCACTAAATGCTCTAAAAGTAGAATTGCTTACATATTTAACTTACAAATAAATGGTTACTTTTAAACTGAATAATAAATAAACACAGCAGGCACACCAAGAGACAAATACTCTACCTGACTGCAGCCACTGCATGGCCTACTTCATGTAAAATTCCACATACAAGAAGAGTCAGCAGATAGTAGAAGATTTGGTTCATAGGAAGATTCACACCAGGCATCTATTAACACATGATATCAACTAGTTAGGAAGCAAAATTCAAATAAATATAAACAATTTATAATAGAGAAAATGAATAAGCTCTATAAACAAAGCTTTTCCTTTCTTGATGGTTAGCTTTTGATTTTGTTTTTTTTGTTTTTTTTTTTTAGATAATGATTCTTTACATCAGAGTTTTGATCTTATATACATTCAATAACTGCTTTCATCAAGAGAGATAAAGCTTTGATACTACACAAAAACATAAATCTGTACAAAAAAGGTTACAAATTCTGTTTTGCACCTTTCTGCAGCAACTGCATGCCCCATTTCATGGAACAGAGCACACAGAAGTAAAGTGAGCAAGTAATACAGCATTTGACTTAATGGGATATTCACTCCTAACATCTGAAAATCAAATGCCATGCACACAAAGTTATTCAAAACCAAATAAATCTGCAACATTGAATGAGTTAATACATTTCCAGTATATTTTATCACAAAGGTTAAATAAAATTAAAATTAGGCATATGGTTTGTCTTTATTGCACAATTTTACCATTTTCCTATACATAAATATATTTTAATAATAATAACTGGCTTTTCATAATCAAGTATGAAACATTACATTCAGAAACATTTCAAATGCTTCATCTTATAAAATACAACTGAAAGCATTATCTTTGTTTTCTTTACTTCAACCTACCACAGGAGTTAACACTTGTTGCTCTATGTGTTGTCTTGTTAGGGTATTGTATACCATGAGTGTCAACAGGCATACAGACAGCAACATGGCGACCATTCCAAAGACAACTCCTGCAGTAAACCAAGTCCGAAGATATCTTGGTTTCCACTGTCCCATCCTTAGAAACACTCGGTTCAGACATTTTGTATACCATCTTATTTGTCCAACTGATAATGAGATTCCTGTCCTCTCTAAAAACTCAATGTATGGTCTAGCTGTTGACTTGTTTGACTAGAAAAAATAATACAAATTTTCAAAACAAACCAAAAAAGACCACAATTCACAGTTTAAGCTAATTAACCAATGTATGATGTGGTATAAATCATTTC